CTTTGATTTTCTTCCTATTTAGTATTTACCTTTTTTGTATCTGCAAGGCTGTATGATTTTCTTCCTTTTTTGTATCTGCAAGGCTGTATGATTTTCTTCCTTTTTAGTATCTACAAGGTTGTATATATATGTACTACTTTCTCAATAGAAAGACATCAATTTCTTCTAATTCTTGTTCTATCACAATTTAAAACTAAATCAAACATGTGAAGTCACGTGTAAATGGCTTGTGATGGAGACTTAACGGGAAGGGAGTTGTGCGACAATTGTCAGAAACAGTAAGGGTACTTTAAGACAATACTGAAATAGTAGGGGTCTAGTTAGTCAATTTCCTAAACCTTAGGGGTAGTTTAAGAAATTGCCCTATAAAAACTATCCATAAGACTAGTGAGCATTCATGGATTGATAGATAATGGCTAATACTAGCTTATCTTCTACCGCTTTTTCTGTTCTTTTTTTTTTAGGGGAGATTTATGGATGGGGGGACTTTCTTTTGAAAGATCGCTTTCCTTCCTTACATTCCTTTTCTTCATACAAAGGCAACCTTTTGTCCAAGTTCATATCCTCATCTACTTCCTTGCCAAGTTTTGATTGGGATTTGGGTTTTAGAAGGGATCTTAGAGATTCATAAGACCTTGTTCTGATTGGATTATTGTAAGTTTTGGGGTCATCCTCCAGGCCCTTTTTCTTGTGATTCCTTCTTTTGTATGCTTTGCTCTTTCACTCCATAATTTCAATATGGAAAAATTTCAGAGATACTTCGCTGATTTTGCTAAGATATTTGGAAAATCTGAAAAAAAAAATCAAGAAAGTTTTCTAGAAACAAAGAATTAGTTAATAAACCTTCACGGTATCATTAAAAGAAGTATAACTGCACATTTAAGGCTCAAAAAACATAGGAAATAACTGTATAAATCAAATAGAAGCAAATTAAGAGACTTTAATAGACCTTTCTCATGGTCCCCCTTTTTAGTCTTTTAGCCATCTTCTCTTTCATTAAATATGTCATTTACTTGCCACTTTGACTTCTGTCCTTTTTGTTACTATATGTTTTTATTGGAATTTTTTAATAATAAAAAAGAGAATTTTTTACCAAAAAGAAAGAAACAGAATATAAATTAGGTAATAAGATATCACCCACAACAAAGAAAAAACAACCCCCAACACCAGCCCTTGCAACCGAAAAAAACCCACACCCTCACTAAAAAGACAATTGTCACCCTCACCCTAGACCCCAAACTCCTCATCCAATGACCACCTTAAAACTTTTTTTTTTAATTCAATCTGTCTTCCCCTCCATAATCCATCCCTTCTTCAGGGGTAGAAATACAAATATGTAGAGTGCAAAACCTTGTATTTTGTATCTATTTTCACTGTGCATATTTGTATTTGTACTCTTTCCAAACTGAGCCTAAGAGATTGAACATGGGATTTGGACTGTAACAAATCAGACTAGGGGTGCTCACAGTTCGGTAACCAAACTGTGGGCTCTTTTTTGAAACTGAACTGAAACCAATCGGTTAACCAGTCCATCAGCTTGGTTCCTCAGTTTCTTGGTTTTTTATATTTACACATATATTATAATAAACATATAAATATGTATAATATAAGCACTATAAATATATATTATAATATTATAAATAATATACAGTATATTACAAACAGATAATTATAAATACAATTCATTTATATATAATGCATATAAATTTATATAATATATATATATATATATATATATATGTGTGTGTATTAATATATATATATATACCAGGCAGTTCAGTTAACCTCTGGTTTTTCTTCTAGGTTAACTGAAACCGAACCAGTGCCACTGGTTTTTGAAAAACACCAAATCGAAACTGAACCTATCAGTTCGATTTTCTCAATTCAATTTGGTTTTTCGGTTTTTGTTGAGCACCCCTAAATCAGACCCAAAACTAAGTTAAAGCATACCTTAAACCTAAAGGAAAAATCACCACAAACATAGTGATCAACTATGGTAGTTCACGCCCAAGACTCCAAGTCTCACATTTGTGATAGGAGATTCAAAGGTGATCACAAGTTGGTTGAAACAAAATGATAAGGTTCCTTGGCATTTCAGAATGAGATTAAAAAATTCAGAAGATTTTCAAGGGACATGCAAGTTGTTGTTCAGTGGGTTCCAAGGAGAGTAAACAGCTTAGTGGATCAACTAGCAAAGCAAGGGATAATAGAGGGCATTGTTTTTGGGCTCAGTTGTAACTCAGAAAGTGTTCTTTGTTGATTTAAGCTCTACTGGGGTAGCCGAGGCTACTCAAGATATGTAACTTTATTTCTTTTTTAATAAAATAAAATTTTTCTGTTGCCAATCAAAAAAAAATGCTGTTCACCATCCAGATGTAAATTTAAGTAGGTAAACTAACCTCAGGCTTCCCAAAAGTGTTCTTCCTGAACTTGAATGATCTTGGAGTAATTTGACAATTTGTATCTAATCCAATCACAAAAGGAATAGACATAAGAAATTAAATGATAGTATAGAAATTTTTATTTCTAGAAAAAAAAAACATATCAAAGAATTTCATGTTCAAACAACCATTACATAAAGAATTATGGCATCACAACTTTATATGGCATGTCAGGCATGCTATTCTTCACTTAACAAATGTCAAAATATGTTGATGAAGGTTGAGGAAACATGTTTCAGTAGCTAAGAAAAACATTGAAAGAATAAAGACACACAGTAAGTTCTCTTATGTTTTATTACAAACAATAGCATCCCTCTGCTTTGAGAAAACCCTCTAACTAAGGGCTTCAAGAAGACACTGTGGCTGGTACAGAGGAATCAATAGAGACTGTTGTCCACTTACGAGTTTTTATATTGGCTGCGCTTGGGTTGAGGGTGGAAGCTATAGACAATTAAGCAAATAATAATACAGGTATAGTGGTACTTATCTGAATAAAGCTGGGTCTAAGACTCAAAGCATAGATGGGAGTAAGTGCAGCAGAAGTTGTCCCATTTTTCCTCTGGTCATCATAATGCTTCCAAGGAACTAGTTAACTGCAAAAAAAAGTTTTATATGGACAATTACTAATAATGGAGGTTCATGAAGGAGAAATATTGAAATTGGTTACAGTGAAGAGAGTATGTACAGGAAGAGGCAGAGATGGAAGACCAAGTGGTTCAAGTGGATTAGGTAGTATTCATTAATAGAATAAAAAAATAAATTACAATTGGGAAGAAGATTCAGGTGGGAAGAACGTTAAGGCTCTTTCTATTTGGGGTGGGAAAAGGCAGCTAGAAAGGTTCATGGCTTAGAGATAAATAATAATAGGGAAGGGGAGGAGCAGAAAGATGGAATTCAAGGTGAGGTGAGTGGGCCAGAAGATAAAGTTAGGGAGGAAGTCAAATATCAAAAGGAATATACATATAGATAGATAGATTGATTGATTGAAGATATAACAATTTTTTTATCAATATTGAAGATAAAACAAAATTTATTAAAGAAAAAAGAAAATTACAAGAAAGGTGACAAGTAGTCACCTAAGAGGAGCAGAACAAAAACCACCAAAAGACCAATCCCAACCAACAAAATCCACCGCACACCTTAAAATGGATACAACAATGAAAACCATAGACTTCAAGCCCAACCCCCCCCCCCCCCCAATGCACTACCAACCCACTTGCTAAAACTAATAGGACCTACCCAATCCAAGAAAAATGAAATCCTCAAAAAAGGTTGAGCTCTACTTTCATTGCTTTAATTCCAAAAAAGGATGGAGCTTGTCACCCTAGAGAGTTTGGGCCTATCAATTTGGTAAATAGTCTATGTACAATCATTGCTAAGGTGTTATCACAAAGAATTAAAGAGGTGTTTTCCATAATCATCTCCCCTAATCAAGGTGCCTCTGTAAAAAGTAGACAAATAATGGACCAGATCTTAATTGCGAATGAGTATGGAAGTTTTGAAAAGAAATGGAAGGGTTAGTCTGCAAATTGGATCTTGATAGAAGTGTTAGACTCTTTTGGTATCGGGCAAAAGTGGTGTAAATGGGTGAAGGGGTGTATTTGGACATGCCCCTATTCTATTTTGGTAAATGGTACAGTGGTAGACCACCTTCTGGCTACTAGACGTATTAGGCAAGGGGACCCCCTCTCTCCTTTGGGAGGAAAGGAATGCAAGGATCTTTAATGACAAGCAAAGGTCAAAGGAAGAAATTGTGAAAACTACAAAGATAAGAGTTGCACACTGGTTAAAAACACTTGATCTCTTGCAAAGCTTTACAATAATTGATATAATAAGGGCTTGGAATGAAGTAGCTCACTCATCCAAAGAGAGAAAGGAAGGTGATGGATTGGAAACCCCCAGCAAGCAATAAAATCAAACTAAGTTTTGATGGAAGCTCTATGGGGAACCCAGGATTGGCAGGTATTGGTGGTGTGTTCATAGATTCCACAAGCAAAGTGTTGGCTATATATTCAGGACCTTTAGGAGTAAGTGATTCACTAAAGGTTGAGCTGTTGGCGCTACTACAAGGTTTAAAGCTTGCTAAGCAAGAAAATCTCAAAAACTTGGAGATAGAAAGGGATTCAAAACTGGTTGTCTCTTGGACTAACACCAGGTGTAATGATCCTTGGATTTTTAGACATACCTTAATGGAAATTGAAAGCTTGGCAAGGGAACTTAATGCCATCTTTACTTGGATTAGGACTGCAAATGAGATGGCTGACACTTTAGCCAGGGGGTCCATAGGAAGCAGCGGTTTTGGGTTGTTATGTATTCTTTTTGGGCTTGTTTCCAGTTGTACTTGTTTCTCACTCATTAATAAATTGGTTTCTCCTTGCTGATCAAAAATAAATTATTAGGAGGGTTTCCAAATTAGAGAACTTCTAATTAAGTTAGAAATCAGATTACGAAACTCCTAATAGGACTATTGACATTCCAACTCTATATAAGATAAAGTAGGAGATAACTTTGAAAGAGATCAACGCATATTCTCATACCTCCAAACCCTAGTTCCAACCAGGGCTGAAAGGGGAGATTTGTCTCTCTTATTTCTATGAGTTTTTCCAGCAAAAACACAGAACATTCAAGTCATTAACAGCTGCACACAAAGAAGGATAACTGAGTGCACATCGATTCACATCAACTTGCTAGATTGAGTTCTTGGATTAGAGCTACGCCATCTTCAGTTCTTGGACTCGATTTGGACATGAGTTTTGGGTGTGAACTACCACTTTGGGAGCTGCAATTTGTGGTGTATGATTCCAACCCATTCTGGACATCAATTTTGATCAACTAAACCTAGATCAATCCTAGGAGAAAATTGTTTCTCCATGAGAATTTCGAGTTCTCCTTTCTTGGGCTGATAAAAGATTTAAAATTCACACCTATAAACCCAGAAAGGTCCAACCTTTTGGGGCATATATCAGTCCTTTCAACACATATAAGCCCTAGTTTCAAGTAGAGCAAGTCAGGCATCCTGCTGTGCAAGAGAAACCAAAAGCTTTTGGGGCATAAATCAGTCCTTTCTGTAAGGTCTAGATGAATTCATAAATTCTTGGTCAAGTATAAAGGAAAACCAGTATCAAAAAGCACATGGATCACTGCTGCAAATTCCCAAGAGCTTGATCTGGAACTTTATGAGTGATATCAAAAGTTTAACTCATCTGAACCAAGTTTTCCAAAGCAGTGGAGGACAAATGCTGAAGCATTTAATGGGCTGAAAGTTTACAGCCATAAGAAGAAAGAACCTCAAAAGCCCAAATCAATATTTAGGCCCATACCCATATTATCTATACCCATGTCCATATGCCTTTACCCATACCTAAACCCATTTTTGTTAATTTGGAATTAATAAATGAAGTCATACAAAGGAACCTAAGAGTAGCTCTGATAGGTAATAAATGAGAGAAAGTAGACTGAGGTGGTTTGCTCACATGCATAGAAGACCATCTACAGCACACATTAGAACAAGTGATCTGTTACAAGTTAAAGGGGCTAGAAGAGCTAACGGCAGACAGGAAAAGAACCTGGGTGGAAGTAGTAAGAAATTATTTAAGCACCCATAATTTGATCATGGGCACAATGGAGCAGACACCATATAGTTGGGACAAGGCTTACATGACGATGATGATGAATTAGGAATTAATGCATGTCATAAACCTTGGTTTGGGAGTTTTTTGAAATTGAAGGAATCTTAGAAAGTTGAAAGGTTAAATGTATTGGGAATTAAAGTTGCAGTCTTCTATGACAATTAGAAAGTAATAATTGAGCTTTAATGCCAGTTTCCTTCATTAGCAAGAAAGCTTGCCTATACAAAGGGATGTACTAGTTTGTTTTTAAACAGTGAATAAATTAGGCATTTTCTTTAAGCAATTTGTGCCTTGGTGATGTGACTCCAATCCAGAATTAGAGTTCTAAGATGAGACTCCAAAGACTAATTCAAAGGCTATGTGATTCAGCTCACCACTCTCCTTCCCAAAATCTAATTATATATCCACTATTCTCAGCTTGCATACTTGGGTTTTCACCATGTTGCACCACCTGCAATTAGGAAAAACTACTAACAACTCAGAAAAAAAAAAAAAAAAACTTCTGAAATTTACAGAAAAACCCTATAACTACTAAATCTATGTTCTCTATCTCTACCAGTTGGCCCTTTGAGCCTTAAACGCTCAAGTACCCTTCAGCAGATAATCAAGCTATTATTGTTAAAAAGCATTTCCAATCCTAACTGGAAGACAAATATTGGTCTTGCAGAGCAGCAATCAAGTAGATATTGAATTACAGCATCCACTGTGAATGACAACACATAAACAAGAAAGTTAAGTGATTTGATGTCATCCAGCTTCTAACCCGCTATACTAAAAACAGAAACACACCTCAGAGCAAGAACAGAAATTAGTGGGAAGAGGAAAGAAGATGAACTATTTTTTTATCAATACAAAGAAGATGAGCTATAGAATCCTAAACAAAATGGAAAACCCTACATCTTGACAGTGTAGTACGGACCAAAGTACGAGCTAGCAGGGAACTCTTCTGAAGTTTGTCTCCACTCATGCGAAACATGCTCTCTCTTTCACAAGATGATAGGAGCTTTAAGTACTGATTTAATAGAGATGTATTCTGCACTTCATCAGGTACAATATACCAAATATGGGTTTCTCTGTAAATCAAAGAATACACTGATCAACATCTTAAAACTAAAGAAACAATATACCAAATATAGACTTCATATCTTAATCAGGAATAGAACAGAAGCCAAATTCTTCAAAACACCCAAATTTTGGATAAAAGAATAACAGAAAGGGGCTATGTTACCTACATAATGGCAAGGGCATGGCTGAACACAGTATCAGATGCAGAATTTATTCTAAAATTTGAAGTATCTGACATGATACAGTAACCTCATACAGGTACGTCTCATAGGAAATGGCAAGTAAAAAACGCAAGTTTTAATCATCACAGAAGAAGAATAAAAACAACCTCAAATGCATTACTGGGTTTCTCATACATTAATCAGGAAATGAGGGTAACAGGCTTCAAAACAAAACTTCTGACAAAATAACGATGGAAACTGTGTATGAACTATGAAGTGGAGAAAAGAAAAAAAAAGTTTGAAGCATACCTCTGCGAAGGAAGTGCTACAGGGACTAAAGGGGATGAAGAATCGAAAAAGCCCCTTGCAAAATTACTTATCTGCATTGATAAAGCTCCTCGTTTTTTCAAGGAAAGCATGTAGTCTAGAAACTCTCTGGAGTCAAACCCAGGAGAGAGCCAATAAGAACCCTATATAGAAAGTTCAAATTCCTCTGTTACTTCAAAAATAGGAACATTTTGTTTCCATAAATAAAAGATCAACATATGGCCTGTTTAGGGAAAATCTATGAAGCCTGAAAAACATGATATTGGAAGAGCTTGGACCAATCACCCCCCAACCCGATTGAATTTTGATAAATACCACCTGATTGGTTACCACTTGTATGATACCGGTTGCTTGGTTACAAATTTTTCCGGGATCATAGTCGGACCTGTTTGACATACTACTTAACATGTCACACGTAAAGTTACAGAACTGCTTTCTTTTAATTTGACAAGAAACAGCAACCAGGTGGAAGAGGAGCATCAGGATGGAACCCAAGTCATTCGTGTTTGAGGAGGTCTGAGCGAGAGGGGGATACTGCTTTCAAGATACGTGAGGGGAAAAAAACCAGTGGTGCTAGTAGTAGGAAAGTCAGTTCTGTGGTTTAAGGGTTTTCTGGAAGGAGCTATATACACCGGTAAGACCTGAGTGCAAGAACGCTGTAAATGAAAAGGATAGGAAATATGTCGCAGAGAGAAGAGAGAAGAACAAAGGGCTGTTCGTGGGACTTTATGAGTTTGATGGGGTCTTTTCCGTAAGGCAGAAGAGGTGCAGGATGGAATCATGCAGTGGAAACCATTGCATACCTGTCATAGTTGCTCCTCCATGTTTTTGCAGCCGTTCCCTTTCTTTGCTTCTTCTCAATCTAGTAGCAAACTTAATCTTCGGTTAGAAGGAAAATTAACGGCGGAGCCCTGTTTTTGCAAGAAGGGTAAATTACTCAAACCCCCCTCTAATTTCCGATAAATTCTTTACATTCCTTGTACTCTAACCTTACTTAAACATAACATTACCGATTTAATCGTTTCGAACAGAGTAAAGTTCTCCATTTTTCTCCACTGAACCTGTTACACATTGGGTTGCAGTTCTTCAATGGACTGTTATTCAAACCACAAGGATATGTAAATCTATTGAAGCAAAGTTAACCAAACAAGGTTGCAGTTCTTGGGGAGTGATATAGAGGTATATACGAATTTTCAAATTAGAATCATTACAGAAAACTGATTGATTTCAACACCGGGCGCATACATGACCCGTCAATCATAAAATGAAATGGAAACAGAAATTTAAAAGCAGAATTTTTCACCTTTTTTTTCTATTTTTGGCTACAACTGAATTTTCTCACTCACTCGTACCAAATCAAGTGTGAAGCGTTACCTGCCATATAGACTTACGTCGACGAGGGAGCTGGATAATAAATTCCCCTTAGCTGTTCCATGTTCTGTGAATCATTATTGGAGATTTTCATATGAGTTGCGTGTGACAGTAGCTCCGATGATAGTCGGAGACGAATACAGCGAGTGCTCCGGCAGTGTTATACATGGTTTTCTGACAATGGGCATGGTTTAGCAAATGAAAAAAATAAATAAAAAAATAGGCCCAATGAAAATTTGGGATTTTCACTGGAGAGCTATAAATATTCAGAAAGTCAACAATCCACACTTTATGCATCAACACCCGTTCCTGTGCTTATAAATTCTAACCCTGGGCTTAACTGTCTTTCTCCCAAAAAAAATAAAAACTTCTAAGAGTCTGTGATCCCGTGAATCCGCCAATGAGGGACGATCACACATAAATACATAAATGGGCTAACTTTAACGGGGTTTTGGCCGTTAGTTGGCTATGTGGTTGAATTCGGGCACAAAATGACAACCCCCCTCCCCCTTTACAGTTCGAACCCTCCTTCCCCTTTCTAGTTTTTTCTTTGGGTAAAATATAAAAATGGGGTAATAACATATAAGGGCAACTTTTGGGGTTTAATATCAATAAAAGTAATATATTTAAAAAAAAATCAAAAATAGGTTAATTTTTTAAAAATAATATCAATAAAGGGCAAAAACATTGTTCACCTTATTCTATTTGCATTTGTTCACCAGAGCCACCACCTACCACTGTCGTCTGTTGCCGCCCGTCGTCTATTGCCGCCCGCCGCCTCTGCCTCCGACAACGTTGCCAAAGATGGATGGAGACAGAGGTGGCGGCAGCGGCGGCTGGCGGCAACGAACGGCAATGGCGGGTAGTGGCGAGTGGTGGCAAATGGTGGTTCTAATGAACAAATGGCAAGAAGAAGAAGATGAACAGTTTTTTGCCCTTTATTGATATTATTTTTAAAGAGTTAACCTATTTTTGAATTTTTTTAAATATATTACTTTTATTGATATTAAACACCAAAAGTTGCCTTTATATGCTAGAAACCCTATAAAAATCTATCCTAAAATTTCTGACAATCATAAAAACCTCCCCTATAGTTTCACTGTAATAAATACCTCCCCTGAACTTTTAAGAAATTCAACATAAACCTCTCTTTCATCACTAATCTCGACGAAAACGTTAGTTGATGCATCAATTTCTTTTAATACCAATTTTACCCTTCCATCATTGTCAAACATCATCAATAACATTCTCTCCCAAGCCTTAACTCTAAACTCCCAAGTCCCAACCCGGGAAACAAGGACAAGACGGAGAGATACAGTATAGCCAAAAAGTGCATGAATCCATGCCAGCTCTCTTGACTCCCGACACCTGAATTTGCAGCTTTCTTAGCTGGAAAACCTGTCAGTCCGTCCCTAAAAGAATGACGATCTTGAGTCACTCCAGTGGACTTTTTTTTCGTTGGAAAACAAGTCTTTCTGGTTAATTATGAGACAGAAGTCTCTCACGTTACATCATCTAGTTGAAGCCTCACAATCTAGAGATTTGAAGTTAGCATTAGAATGCATCGTTGATTCCTACATTGATGTAGAGTCGTTTGCAATTATTGGTGATGTTTGACTATGGGTTTATCTTATTTTGCTCACTGAGAGAAACCCACTACCATTACTGCCTGTAGCACTAAAGCGGTCTTGGTCCATGATTCCATGGATTTTTCCCACAGAGGTGGAGGCAGAGGGGATTTTTCCCACAGAGGTGGAGGCAGAGGGTCTTGGTCCATGACACCAGAGGTGGAGGCAGAGGGGATTCTTTTTCGTATCACCTTCGTCGTTGCCACCACCACTATCTTCCTCTTCTAAGGGTGGGGGTCTTAGTATTGCAGAGTAATTCATGCAAAGCAACTATGCTAACGAGATCCTTAGCATTACTAGGGATAGGTCACGAGTGCACAACCAATAGAGTCCTTCAGTGAGTTAATTATGATGATTTTACATGCTTTACAGAGGTGGTTGAAGGCTCTTTGTGTACAAGTTTAGAGATCTGAATTTTCATTTACTAATTAAGAAATTTCTTCCGTTGCTGCTTATTGTTTTTCATCTTTGAGATGAATAACAACAATTATGTAATAAGATGGGAAGAGTGGCCATTACAACATTAATTTTCCACTTTCATTGAGCTCGTAACCCATACCTCTCTCGAAAGCATATATGGGTTTGGATCTAACATGGCCATAACGCAAAGACGATGGCGCCAGTGCCTTTGCCGCGTGGGTGGTCAGTCAGTGATGTTTTCCATCTAGGGTAGTGATAGGGTAAATTTGGTATTTAAAAGAAATTAATGCATTTGTTAACGTTTTCCATTTGCATCAATAACAGAAGGGAAGGGAGATTTTTGTCGAGTTTCTCAAGAGTTTAGGGAAGGTATTTTTTTACAGTGAAACTATAGGGGAGGTTTTTATGATTGTTAGAAACTTTAAGGGAGGTTTTTGTATTTTACCCTTTCTCTTTTCTTCTCCCACCAAACCCTCCTACCCCACACAACGGTGAGAACACCTTACCAGCCATCATCCATCAGTGATGAGAGCTCCAGCAATACGCTCTCCTCTTCCTCTTCTTCTTCTTCTTACGAAGGTGGTTCTGGTTCTCTGTTTGGACAGATCAAAGGTGACCCCAAACCTTAGCTCATGCCGGCACAAGGCTCTCTATGCTTTCTGTTCAAGAGAACCAAGGTGAGTGAACCTGAGCTTACAAATGAGTTCTCTATTCTAATTTTTCTTGTTTCTCTAATTGATTTTTATGGACACTGACTTGGAGAATTAGAGTTCATATAAAATATGAAAGACTTGAGAGTTGTTACATTATTCCATTTGCTTTGTTCTTTAGTTGTACAAGTTGATTGGTAGAAACATCAGATGCAGATAATGAAAACTATACTGCAATACCATGAAAATTTCTGCTCATTGACAAAACTCAAAATGTTTTCTTGCATATGAGACTCTTAAAAGGATAAAAATCCCAAAGAGAACCTTTAATAAGATTTTCTTCAACATAGAATGTGGCCACAACTGGAAGAGAGAGAACAAGATTCATACTGCTGGGCCTGCTTAAATTGAGCACAAGAGTTACTTATAGTTACTTATAGCTGTATGTATACACAAAAGTATAAATAATAACATATAATGGGAGAATTGATGGTGTGCTATGATGGAAGATTTCAGATAAGAAATCACTATTATAAGCTATGGGAGAAGATTTCAAAACTTCATGTGGGTGCATGGGTACTTGAAAACTTTTTACCTTCACTTCCTCATACAATTTATTCTCCCAAGCATATCCTTCCTAGCGTCAATGAATGCTTGTTTGATTCCATTCCTCTTCAAAGAGGTCGTTCTTAAACTCTATCCATGTGGAAGAACCTTTCAAATTGGATGCAAGGAAACTCTTGCAAGATGAAGGTTGAGAAGAAGTGGACCTAGTAATAGCTTGGATGATTTTTGTGGAATTCTCTATGTTCAAGAAGCATAATACCCAAATAAGAGAGCCTTGCACCGGTGTGAGCTGTTGGTTCACTCACCTTTGCTTGCCTAAATAGAGAGCACAGAGAGCCTTGCGCCAATGTGAGTTGAGGTTCGGGGTCACCTTTGATCTGTCCAAACAGAGAACCAGAACCACCTTCCTAAGAAGAAGAAGAAGAAGAAGAGTGTACCGCCAAAGCTCTTGCCGCCAATGGATGATGGCTAGTGTGGTGTATTCGCCAGTGGTAAGCTCGCCAGTGCATGGGGTAGGAGGGTTTGGTGGGAGGAGAAAAGAGAAAAGCAAAAAGGGAAAGGATGTCATGTGATTTATATATTGATAGCCCCGGTTCAACCACATCAATTGTTTTGTGCCCCGGTTCAACCACATCAATTGTTTTACAAACAATGCACAAAATCCTCCCCTGTCTTTAATCATTCGTTCGCATATGATGTCATGTGATTTATATAATGATAGCTATAAATATATAACCCTAGCAAGTGCACTAGTTATCAAGTAGTATAAAAATATCATTCTCACGAGGATTTAACAAAATAAGTATTAGAATCATCGTCTTCCCTAATTATGTGGACAATCGAATTTCAGATTTGAGCAAGATCTACTGAAAATAAAAACTAGAGAAATAAAAGCAAAGGTGATCACTAATCGAATCTGCAATGGATGGAATCGCTAGGGCTTTTGGTCCACCTAACCAATGCAATGAATATTGATGGGTTCGATTAACTAAGATTATTTGTCATTCTCATAAGCTGAGGTCTTGCCAATTTTATTTAATATTCTCTCTCGAGATATACTAAACCTACGCCCATCAGGTAGCCCTTCGATCTCTTGAGAATAACTCTCAAGATGGGAATGCATTAAGTCCAAGAAAACCATGAAATTCAAATGAATCATGTATATATATCTCTATATACCATTCAATTCATACTATAAATTATTCAGTCGATTATGTGAATTCCTCTCTCAATTCATTCACATAACTCAAATCAATCAAGAGGTGCCAAGCTCTTGATTGCATTAAGCACAATAATTCATAGACTATATGAAAATCACAATCTTGGATAAATCATAAAGATAAAAATATATTCATTAACATRATTASRCTTTCYTCAGCCCTAGCAAGAAACAAATCAGTTCATGATAGAAGAATTAAAACAAACAAAGGAAAAGAAAGAACTCTTGGATTCGCCCATGATGTTGAGATCTCCTCCTCTTGCCGCCACCTTCTTCTTGAATTCTTGTTCCTTTTTTCTTGATTCAATCCCCAAGATTGAGTGATTGTGTGATGCCTAAAGCTGATCCGCCCCCTCCTTTATATAGCTTAAAGGGGAGGGGGTGGTCTCCTACTTCCTCTTGAAGATGATCTTTACAAGAATAGAAAGTCATATCCTAATTCTAATCTTATCTTTTTATCTAATGAACTCAATCCTCTTATCTCTTTAAGATAACATCAATAATTTAGATCTAGAAGGACTCTTCTCAGTTTCTTGTTCTTGGATTCATATTAGTCCTCCTCTGCGAATTGGGCTTCAGCTAGACTTTTCTGCAAGTTGGGCTTCAGCTGCGGATTGGGCCTTCCTATGAATTCGCCGTGACTTCAGGCCCGGATTTGACTTTGATGCAGGCCGAATCTGTGAAAGACCAAAACATGAAAGTTGTGGATTTTTCTCTTATCTTTCCATTGGATCTTGAATCAGCCCATTCGGAGTTTGGATATGCGAGTTAGGCCTAGATTACTGAATGATATCGAAACTATGAAAAATCATCTAATTTGTCTTTCTTTGCTCCTGCTGCATTCTTTCATGCCCTGAACAGAAATATGAATCCAATTAGATGCTAATTTAGTATAAAAGGCATAATAATTGAGGATAAAAATATGATAAGTTCTACTCTCATCATATAATTTTTGTAATTTCAAAATTACCCTTTTGTATTTAATTTTACGAGTTTGGATCTCCTACCCATAAGAACATCTCCCATATTTGCATGTTACCATTCATGGGTAAATGTTCCTAATATACAGTTATAATGTCATGTGGGTAGGAGGTCTGAAATTCAATTTTACCTTTCATTGTTCCTTACATTTTCAAAATAAAATCAATGCCAATATCTTCTCCGAACCTTAGATGAAACTAAGAGTAGAAGTTCCTTTCTCTAGATTCTTGAATCTAGAATCTAATGTACAACAATCATAATGGTGGTGGTCTTGATGGCCCTGAAAGTTCCTATAAAAATGAAAATTGAAATCCCAAACATTAGAAACAAATCAAATGGAACGATAGAATCCCTAAGGAGGGACTCGTGAGTATGTTGGTGTTGCACCTCTAGTAAAAGGTAGACTATGTACCAATGTAACCTAACATGAATCCGTTTATGAAAAATAATAAAAAGTTGGTGTGACAATAGCTTGGCAATCGTGTTCCCTAATATGCAAGCTAGATAAATCATAATAAGACTTCTTGTGTTGAATTGCAATTCCTCTAGGCTTTAGCGTGTCAAAAGGTCGAGCTGAGAATCTGATATCAAGGGCGCAACTCATCCACCACCTTCGTGGGGACAGGATTGCCAAGTTGTTGTATTGTGTAGTGTAGGGTTTTAGGTTTCTGCTTGTTGGTTTTACCATTGAAAGTTAAATCTAAAAGAAGTTCAATCTTCACTCTTCAAAGTTGCAAGTCTCTACAATGTTATGGTGTTTGTGGTTGAGATTGAATTTGCGCCCCACATGCACATCTCGACGTGCATTGGGAACATCTCCCGTAGTTGTCATTAGGAGATGTTCACAAAACACGGTTGCAATATGCTGCGAAATGCTTGTGGGGGTGTGCTTTATGGGTGCATATGCAAATTCTTTGTAGCTTATTGGAAAGCCTCAATATTTGTGGGTTTAATCAATCGAAAACTTAGAGCTTCTCATCTTATTTATTTTCATATCTCTTTCGTAGGTGAGAAATAATTACTTTACACGATCAGTGATGGAACCACTTGACTTTTGTGCATGAAGATAACTCAATCGAACAAGAATCAAAGGTGGCCCCAACTAAGAGGGTTTCTATTATTATCAATGAGACTTCTATTCTAACTTTACTTTTTTAGGGTTTTATTTTGAAAGTTTAAAGAATAATGGAGGGTAAATTTGACATTTCACTTTTTCCATCAATATTTATTGGCAATGCATAAGGGTACTTTAAGTAATTATTGAAATAGTAGCATAAGTTTTTTTATCCATTTGCTAAACCATAGGGGTACTTTAAGTATTTTAACCCTTTTGCTTATGTGTGGTTGCATTATCAATATGTCAATTGCTTGGGTTACGTGTAATTGACCAAACTAATTATTCAAATTTGACCAAAAGACGGAGATTGGATTTGATCCTCACACCGACCTCACAGGAAAACCCCATCGTGCATTGGGAACATCTCCCATACTCATATGTTATTAAGTACGGGAGATGTTCCCAATGCACAGCGGGATGTGCCTGCGAGGTTGTTCTGAGACGCCCTATGTAAGGAGCATATCCCATTTGTGGGGTCTTATCTTAAAGACAAAGACCATTTCGCAAGTGGCTTGGTCTACTAGGCTTTTAGGCATTGTTCATTTTCACTTACCAAGGTACGTGAGTTTATCAGGGCAAGTGTTTCCTAGGTTTCGCTTGTTTGGATAAGTTTAGTTCAAATGTTCTTAGCTTCAACAGCCTAGGTAAAGGAAGAGGCAAGATGAAGAGACTGTTATCAGCATGTAGGTAATCAATTTTTCCACCCTCCAAGAGGGTATCAATTACTTTACCTAGGTAGTTGATACCCTCCAAAAAAATCACTTATAGTGGGATCTATTATAGCATCATACAAATGTGGGAATTATGATCAATTACCTAGTTAACCAACTTACCCCTACTACGATATTGGTGTAAGTACACATATTTGAGCACTATGAAAACTGCATTTAAGGGCATTCAAATTAGTGACCATAGCATAACCACACCATACCACAAACCTAAACACCCCCACCAGCACAAATATGAACCATGTTGAAGAACAATTAAACATGGCCACAACACTTATGTTATAGTATAAGCATGAAATTCCATAACAACCCCTAACCCACAATAAGCGATTGAACCTATGATATGAAGTACTAAAGTACATTTACAGTGCAGAGCATAACCAACACTGCCTTAATAACCTCGTAATCAGTAGAAGTCCCTTATGCTAGAACTATGTCCTACTTAGGCGTTGCATCATATTAGGGGAATAGGTTCACAATGAGTGTTTGATCATTATGGGCTAAAAGGTTAAGTGTAAGACCATTGAAGGTAATACCTAATGGGCTAATCTTGCATCTGCCCACAGTTCTTGGGTTTTTATAAGGTGACTAGACCCAATCACCATTTTGTGTAAATGTTGGGCCAATTAAGAGCCCGTGGTGATGGACTCAGGGGTTCATTGTCTTCTACAGTGAATTCGGTTAGGCCTCGTAACAAAGGTTGGGTTGAACCCATGTGGCTGATGTATAGATCAATGTTTGGGTCCCACACCATACAAAGAGAGCCAACTAGGCAGCAGGTTAAGGTGTAAATGAACAAATAAGCTTAATGGGCCTAAAGCCCAATTTGAACTAGGCTTAAGTTAGTTAATTAAAAGGAGGCAAGATCTGATTTATAATCTGATTAGGATTAGCTGAAAGGATAAGATAAGTCTTATCCATTTAAGAGTCTAGATCCAAATATCAGATTTGGATCAAGAAACTCTCTTCTAATTAAATTAGGAGGCTAATCCAAATAAGACTATAAATAGGGGGCTAATTCCTCAGTTTTAACACACAGCAACCTTCAGAATTCTCTCATATTCTTGCCATCCCTACCTAGTTCGATCTCCTCTTGTGGAATAGATCAATAAAGGTTCTTGATATTGTTTCTGGATTGAAGAAACAATTTGAAGTCGTGCTCACCAGCCCCTGTTCGATTCTTGCTGAAGAATCCTGGTTCCTGCTGAAAATCCATCATGCTGATCCTGCTTCTTCAATTATGTCATTTTCAATGGAATTGGGTTTTGGTCTTCTCCTTGGGCGTGAGCACTTTCATTGGGAGTTACTGCTACTTAGTATCAAGTATATCCCTATCCTCCCTTTTTTGTTTCAGATCTAGTCCGATTTTGGGTTCAAGATTGATCATTGAAAATGCAGTTTTCTAAAATAGGGAATGCAATTCCCAGATGAAAGAGATAGAAATTTTTTGAAATTTCGCCCAACCTTCATGTAGGGTTCGGCCATCCATATGATGGATCTCTCATCCCTTCATCTTTAACTTGTCTCTTTTGTAAAATAGATCCGATTCACCCAAGTACAATACTACTATTACTACTACTAAGGCATTGAGATTGATAGAGCGAAAGCAAAATCTCCCTCACCTTTCTTTAGGCAACAATTAACCACATCCCCTTAAACACACCAGAAACAACAAGAAATACCTTGGATACCCATTGCCCATGGTAAATTTCTTATCCCTTGAGAGTTTCTTTATAAACATACTGTTCTCCCTAAGGACAAATGTTGCCTTGATCAATGAAAGTGATCTACTCAAGTGAACATAGTTTCTTGGGTTTGTTGAGCCCATATAAAATTTGTGTTGAATATCCTAACTAAGAATAAATTATAAAGTAAGATTGTTTCATGCCAATTTGATGCTTCACCTACATGTTTATATAGAACTTTTCACCCAAACCCCAATTCTAACCCTTCCCTATTCAAAGCTCTTTAACACGGTCTCATTCCTCCAAAAGTAAAATTTTCTATTTGGAGGCAAATAATCAACTAATAAACTATTGTGTAAATCCTCAAAAGAAGCAGAAAAATTGGTTCCTCTCCCCTTGTATGTGTGCATTTATTTAGATAATTTAAGGTTTTATCACCAAAGTTGAACAATTTGTTGAGATTAAAGGCATGCTAAGACTCTTATGTACATTTCTTTTGTCTTTAAGACTTTTATTCATGTTATGTTATTCTTTTAACATGATACCATATTTTTAATGTTGTATCCTGTTTATAGCACCATTTTTAGCCATATATATATATTAAATTTTTAATTGTCACGTGCAAAGCACATGCATAATTACTAGTAATATTGAAATGTCTATTTGCTCTCTAGAAGTTATTTCATTTCTTTACCTTTTCTTCTAAAATGCCTTGGTCAAGATGAACTATTGACCTCTTTTCCATTTTTACCTATAGGGTGCTAATTGAATTGGTGTTGTGTGCACAACTGAGTATTGGCATAGCGGTCAATCATGCTCTCATTACTATGGTCAACAATACTCTATGTTGACTATAATGAAAATGGTGACATGTTGTGCTCCAAGTAGAAAGGTAATAGGTAATTCAATTGACCACTTCAATGGGTAGTTTAAAGTTGTTGGGTTGTGTTGGTCTTCTAAAGGTAAGAGAAATTTTATGAAGTAATTTGTAAATTCACCAATAGTTTTGATGGGTTAATCTCTATTGGTTGTTGAGGCTCCAAACAACCTCTAGTGAACACATCTTACTTACGAGAAGACAAAGGATATTGGTTAGACACACGCCTCCATCTTACCAAACCTGAGAGGTGTTCACTAAGATCCAAAGTAGGTCAGTCAATCTTCTTCTTTGGGTAAGATTTCTTACGACCTTTAGGCTGCGTTTGGAAAGGAGGTAAATACCGGTTCGGTGCATTATTGCATTTCGGTCCACATTTCCATGTGTTTGGAAACAGTGTAAAAATACCTCTATTATCGATGTAAATTTGCAAACATCCTCGAGTTTACATCGATATGAGAGTGGAAAACTGCGTCGATTTTTTCGGAGTAAAAATTTAGGCAATGAGTTTACCTTCTCTTCTTCCATCGAGGGAAATAAGCAATGAGTTTACCTTCATCCACCGCATGGTGGTCTGAGTAACGACTATTTTCCCATTTCCCATTCTCGGATTTGAGATCTGAGGAGTCTGAAACGTCCACCGGCTTCCTTCTGAGATCTGAGGAGTCCGAACCGGCTATTTTACCCTCATCCATTGCAGCTTCTGAAATCTAAAGAGTCGCACCGAAATGGCTATTTACCCTCATCCATAGCAGCTTCTAAGATCTAAGGAGTCCAACCAAAACGTCTCTTTAGGTAGGAGATGGGTGGGTTAATTCATCATTTCTGTTACCTTTATTAGATGGAAGAGTAGTTGCAAGGATGAATAACTATTTTTTTATGACAGCATTCCATAAGATTTTAAGTGATTTGACGAGTTGTAGTTATCAGATTTATCATGCAGAAATTTTAGTTTTTTGATTGGGATGCACTGCTTCTATGAAGATAGTTTCTATTTTAATCTGAGACAAGACAATATAAGGATTTATCAGGCATTTGATTTCATTTTACTTGTATTATCTTGCATCCTACCTTACGCCTAAAAAAATAACCCTCCTTCCTCCATTCTCTTTCATCTAAAGTGAATGCCACTTCCTTTTATTTCTCACATACAAATAAGAGAAGTCAAGTCTGAAGTAAAAGTAAATTAGAATTTACTCTCAACCCTTTTGCATTCCCATGCATTTACACCAATGCAAATGGAATTTGTACTACAACCAAATGCAGCCATATTCTTAAATTTTGTATCAGATTTAAGCAAAACCATTTACATTGGTTAATACCCCTTTAATACATGGTGGTATGCCAATAAGGGCAGCCAATGGATCGGATCCCATCCAATTAAATTGGACTTTGATAATCCATTATGCTTATCAGATTGAATTGGACCACTCTAGATAAATCGTTATTTGTTGGATTGGATTAGTTTATTAACAATTTGATCTTACAACAATCCAACCCAATGTTAACCCAAAAGTTCAGAGTGTTAATATGTATTGTTTTTTTGCCGATACTTACCTGTGGCAAAATAGGAAATCAGCAGTCGTGGTAAAATTTTACTGTATTTACCATGTATTTGTGTGTATTGTGTTAGTATCGGTATTTGGTATGTATTAATTGTTACTTAGCTCTTATAAATCGATATATACAACTGCTACAAATTGTTACAAACTCATTCAATTGTTGTTGCAATTTGATTCTAAGAGAAGTCTAAATGGCATATTCTTGTTGCTTTGCTTTTAGTTTATCTTCCCATCTTTTTTTATTTCTTTGACTTGCTTTTTATGGTGTACTATTCTTGAGCAAGTTTCAATGAATGGCTACTAGGTGATTGCTGAAAGTTGGGTTGTTCCATTCAAATGTTGACGCATTTCTCTATGGTTGTTGATTGTATATTCTTATTGGTGGCTTCTACTGTTGATGGTCCAGCTAGAATTGCATGGCCATTTGCTTTACTGAGAACTAGTTGAATGCCACATACAAGAGGAGAGAGGGGAGAAAGTGGAAATAAGAAAATAAATAGATTAAAGTTTTTGGATGGTTGTTTGGGTTGTGCAGAAGAAACCAACTAGAAAAAATGTCAAAGGTTTCATTTGAGATCCTTCCAAATGGAAATGTTTGAGATTTTTTCCAAGGGAGGGGAGGGAGGGATACCAATCCATCCATTTGATTTGTATATGAAGATTTTGAAACTAGATCATGCAGCCTAGATTTATTTAGATTGAGTTGAACCAATTAAAAATTAGGGAAACCAGAGACCAGTCTGGGTTCCATATATACTCCTGCTGGTGGATTATTTCATAGAAATGGGGATTCAAGTGGGGTCAAGAAGTCAGATTGCAACCTTTGTATTGGTTATTGATTCATCATGTTATATAGAAAACAAAAAAAATTATTGGAATTTTCGTTTGGGTTCTAAACAAGCTACATTTTGGTTAGGCTTGAACGGTCAAGAGTCAAAAGAATATGGAGGTTGTGTTTCTCACAAGTCACAACTAATCATGGTGCCTGCCTATTAGATAGAGATTGAACCTTGAAGGATATATGGTTTAGAGTTCAGAAGGCAACTGTTAGCTGGTGACCAATTGTAACTCTTGGCAAATTAGGGAAATCATGGATCTTGTGGACACTGATTGAACAAAGGCAACTGAAGTTTGTTTTGGTAGATGAATTGACTTAACTTGCTCCATACCTTGAGACTGGCCAGATATAATTCATATCCAATTAATAAAAAAGCAAGGAGCAATGAGTCAACCATAGACCAACCATTTTTTTACATGTTTAGGAGCTGAAGAGATAATCCACTTCAGGCCTTCCAATAGGATTCAATGACGAAAATATTTAGTTAGTAACCAGAAGGTTATTGGTGTATGAGTGGGTCATCTTGAAAACCATTTTGAGGAGTATTGGAACTTCTTACCACTTAAAGAACGGAACTTCAGCTAGAAACTAGCTAGCAAGAACTAATTTCTAAGTGGAACTTCTGACAGTACCTATGGAATAAATGCTAAAAGATGTATACGAGGGAGAGGAAACTACAATGCAGATATAACTTTTCATATGTTCTCTAGCCACCCACTCACACCACTAAATCTTGTCACCATACACAGATAGAACTTTTCATACGTTTTCCAGCCAAATCATTCCATGAACTAACTGTACAGTTAGTGAATTCATATGTTGATGAATTTCATCCATTTGGCTATTTTCATCTCTGGGGAATTACTCTGGCCTAGTTGGGAAATGATGGTTGAAATACAAAAACTAGAATCCAAAATACACCTTTGTATTAAGATGGTTATCCCTTGATACCTCATTATGAATGTTAACAAATGCAAATTTGACTTTGTGAGAATGCCCTTTTTATTAGCACTCTCTCTCTCTCTCTCTGTCTTGATTCATGTATCCCACTTTAAGATACCTCTCTAGTATTTGGTATTCCTACAAGAAGAGCCTAATCTGGAATCCATGACTTATAGTATTTTTTTGGAGCTGTAAACCATCTTGTGAAAGATTTCCAGCTTTAAATCACTCTTGAAGAAATAAAAGATAGACAGAAACAAAGAGAGCTACTTGAAAGGAAGATATGGTTTTTGCAATATATTGGAGGTGTTAGTTGAAATGTCATGTATTGTTGGTCCACCTGAATTCAAGGCTACCACCTTGATACATTAAGTACCTTGTGTGTTAGTGGGGATAGGGAGAGAAAAGAGTCCAACAAAATCTATTGGAAATGACTCTAGTAGCATAGTTTTAAACTTTATTCAAATCTAGCTAGCTCTTTGTCATCGTCTTTTATTTAACTTTTGAGATGTATTATATCTATCATAGATCTCATGCTTGCATTCTCTAATTACATCCTAAATATTTAACTTCTATTATCTGCAATTGTCTATATATATATATATTAAAATAGCAAAATACCCTTTTCTGTTGATATTCTTTTTTTTCCCATTTCATGGAGGACAAGGGATGTGCACATACTGCTGCTCCATAGAGCTAAAGTCAACAAATGAGTTAATTCTTGTCCTTATCCCCAACATATTCATTCTGGATGATCCAAGAAAGAAAAATACATGGTGAATGGGTGGGGCCACCTTGATTTTTTGTTGGGTCTTAGCAATGGTATGATGTTTATTAATGTCTATTTTATTATTGTGAGAATAATCATTATCTCACTTCTTTCTAGCATGTTGTTCATAATGCATGAAAATTGACAATTTCTTCTTTTTTTGGTGGAATCTAAACTGTAGTCTCCTCCATTAATTTGCCTTTATTTGCTTATTATGTACATCCACCAATCTAGTAAAAACTTATTAGTAGGATTTCAGTCCAGCAACCTCTTTGAGCATAAAGTTACATCATCTAAAGCTACCAATCTCTTTTTCTTTTGTCCCAACCTCTCACCACAACCGGTATCTGGTCTTGCAACAGAGATGGGGACTTTTCTTATGTACACTCTCTTACTGTATTAGGTTCTCATTGATTTTCCCGGTAGCCTGCTTGTATTTTTTTTTCATCCATCAGTAAATTAATTACTTTATCTTTTTCAAAAAAAAAAAGTCTACAAAGATTGATATTTCAAGTCCCCTGAACAATACTCTATCTTCAATTTTTTGTTTCTATCTCTTTCCATTCAATTTTTGGAGGTCTTCCAAGTGGCTCATGGGCAGGTTGGAAGAGTTGCTATTTAATAGTCAAAAGGTCTTAAAATTTTGTATGATAACAATCTAACACTTTTTATATTGGTGTAAGTTTCCAAATGCCAACAAAATCACACCGATTGTTTTGCATCTTGGTGCCAAATGTGAAGAGCATAAATCAAACATACAAAAGCAAACCGGTGGAATGCTAATTTACACTATGCAAATTTGTATTTACCTTCTTTCCAAACGCAACCTTAAGAACTTTTCTTATAAAATTACAGTTGTTCCTTGTTATATTCAGCTGTTAAGGGGTATTTTGATCATTTTGTATTGTTTTGTATTCTAGGACTGAAACTAGTGTTAATCAAACCAATAACATTCATCTCCCTCTCTCTCTCTCTTCCTCCTTCTCTTTCTCTCTTTGAAACCTTTATCAAAGAGACAAAGCACAAAGCAAGTAAGAGCTCATATCAAAACCCAAATTGAACAAACACAGTAGGGAAATAAATGCAATGATCTATCAAACCCATTGCCTTCGTTCCTCCAAATTTTACTCATTCTCCTTTGATTGGTTCTAAAAGCAAGTGCACCTTTGTTGTAGAGAACCCACAAATGAATTGGTAAACGTGAAATATAAACTTCTATTTTCTGGTGGTAGAATTACTTTTTGGAAAAATGCTAAAGAAAAACTGGAAAAAAAAAGAGTAAAAAAATCTATTCAAGAAAGACATTAATCATTAAAGCTTCCTCAAAGTTTCTCATATAGCTCATTTAATGGAAAATACGCGTACGGACTAAATGTTGGGTATATAAAAAATCCCATAGAAGTCATCTTTAATGTTCAAAGTTCAAACATTAGCAACCTTTATGCTAATTCCACCACTAGAAATAATTGTTACTTAGGGTCTGTTTGATTGCTGAGAAAGGGATGAGAAAAGGGAATATTCCCGAATGATTCTCTCTTTCTTATGTTTGTTTACTGGTAAACAGTGTTTTGGGATGAGAAATTAGAGGGATGCGGGATCCCAAAATTTAGTGAGCGGGATCGCACCATTTTGGTGCGACCCCAGTGAGAAAAGAAAGGCTAAGAAAATCTATCGGGTTTGTCAGAGCAAGAGGTCGACAAGCTCGTCTCCCCTTCGAAGCTGCTGTTCCAACTGCCATATCTCCGGTAGATTCTCCGGCCATCTCTGTGGAAGGTAACACAAAATCCATGAATCCCTCTCTCTAGCGGTCCTGTCCTACCCTTTTTTTGTTGTTTTTCGTTCCATGGTTCTTTCTCAACGAAGTGTGTTTTCTTTCTGATGTCATTGTTGATCTGAGCAGGAACAGCGGAAGGCTGAACACCGCCCCTTCTCAGCAAGGAGTGTTTTCTTTCTGATGTCATTGTTGATCCGAGCCAAAATCTTGAGATAAAAAAACCATCTTCTCTCTTTGAATCGAAGAAATGGGGATTTTGATGATTATAAATAGAAATGGGGATTTTGGGTATGTTAGAAGGTTAAATGTAGTTAGAAATTATTCATGTGCTTAGGGTATTTTTGATGGTTTGAGTTGTGATGGTATAAGGTGCTTGTTTATGAAATCGATGGGAGATATTTGGGTTTGGATTCATTTTGTTTGGATTCATTTTATTGCAGGTATAAGATATTTGGGTTTTGTTTTTTTTTCTCTAAAGAATGATGTTATTATCTGTTTATGTGATTTTATTCATTTATTTGTTGTTCTGCTTTTTTGCTTTTCTCCAACATAGGATTTGAGTATTTCTAATCAAGGCGCACTTAGTGGAGTTTGTAACACTTATTTCTTATCATTCTAAAAGCACCTTAGCACTTTTTTTTTGGGGGGGGATTATTTTGTT